TACTAATAAGTAAAGGCTTTTTTAATTTCTTAAGCTAATTAGAATTTAATGGTATTCCAATGAATAATTTTTGGTGGAATCTGCCATAGTCAGTGATTATAAGCATTTACTTTTTTTTCTGGATTATCGAGGTAGTAAATTGTCTTATTTAATTCATATATTAAACAAAAAAACTTTAAATTAAGAAATAGAATTTTACGATAGAATCTATCATTATATTTAAATTTCAAAATATATTTACAATTATTTCACTTAAGTATTTAAAATATGATTATATTTCTATGGAAATAAAGCATGAAGAAAGATCTGTTGCTTTTAGAATGCTCTGAAAACAGCTTTCTAAAAGTATGCAGGATTCTATTTAATTAATTTTAGATAATTCCAACTTTCAAAATGCACTATCTTGATAACTATGCTGTTTTAGCTGTTTACTAGAAAGATTTTCTTCTTTCGAATAAAAAGGTTTCTATTAGAGAATGTACTAAAGATAATGAAAAATTTACAATTTTTTATACCATTTTGAAAACTATACAAAATTGAGAAAATTAGATCCAAATTTACTTACAAAAGTATATCATTTAAATTTTTGTTAAGTATCTTTAAAATGATATATAGACAACTTTATCATCATCGAAAATTACTTTCTATTATCCTTAAAAGTATTTACTTTCATCTTTATCAATAATAGAAATTAAGCTTAATATGGTAAAAAAATCCCTATTTATTTTATATTCTATAGAATAGTAAATTAAAAATTATCCTATTTGCTATATCTTGTTAGTTTATTCGTATTCTTAATTAAGAAGTACAAAATACATAGGTTTAATAAATGGTTTAAAATATAAATATGATTTCTAATATTTTCTGATTCAATTATTTTAAATTTCAATTGAGTTTTCTCTCATTATCTTATTGAAGCAGAAAATAAATTAAAATTAAATAGATAGAAAAATATAGGAAATATAATGTTAATTGTAATTTTTTTAATGTTATTGCAATTACTCAAATCTACTTTGAATTTAAGACTAATCATTATAATAAAGGTCTTATATCAACACCTTAATTATTTGTGAATTCTCCGTTGGAAACTTGAGCTCCTTATGCTTAAAATTTTGGATTTTGGGATATAACAAGTATTGTAATAAAAGTGTCAGCTAAAATAATTAAAATAATTACTACCTAGAATACCTGTATGACTATTATTGGAAGGTAAAATTTCATTACTTGTCTGAATATCCCATAAACGGATAGACATATCACTGCTACCAGAAGCTAATGTATTTCCATCAGGAGAGAAGCATACGGAGTATACAGTACCACTATGACCATCAAATTTGGCTTTTTATTATCCTGTTTTGACATCCCATAAACGGATAGACTTATCCACACTACCGGATGCTAATGTTGTACCGTTTGGAGAAAAGCATATTGATTATATAAAATGAGTATGACCAAAGAATTATTTCATTCGTTTTCCTGTTTTAACATCCCATAAAAATATTTCTTTATCACAACTACCAGACGCTAATGCAGTATCATCAGGAGAAAAACATACTGATAGAACTGAATCCTTGTGACCATTCAATTTTGCTTTTACTTGTCCTAACTCAACATTCCATATACGGATAGACGTATCTAAACTACCAGATGCTAATGTGGTTTCATCAGGAGAGAAGCATAGTGAAAGTAAAGCATGAGTGTGTCCATCTAATTTAAATTTTTATTGTCCTGTCTTAACATCCCATAAACGAACAGACTTATCTTCACTACCAGATGCTAATGTAGTTTTATCAGGAGAGAAGCATAGAGAAAGTACAGCTTGAGAGTGTCCATCTAATTTAAATTTTTATTGTCCTGTCTTAACATCCCATAAACGAACAGACTTATCTTCACTACCAGATGCTAATGTAGTACCATTAGGAGAGAAACATACAGTAACCACTTAATCACTATGACCCTCTAATTGAAGTGACTCTTAAATTCTTAAATTTTTCCATTTGCAGTTCGATAATTTAGCCCCATTCAAATTCACTCCACTAATATCTACATTTTC